GACATTTTCGTATTAAACTTTTTGTCTCAAAATGTTAAAAATATCTATCTTTAAAATATTTATTATCAATTTTAGAACATCCTGTAGAAAGAATAAATTTAATAATTACGACTTTTTATATACTAAAAGATAAATTTTAATAAATATTTGTTTGAATAGTTCTAAATAAATTTACTAAATGTGAACATACATATTTGATACAAAAACCATTAATTTGATTTTAAGCGTCAGTTTTTTATTGTGTAAAAATATTTATTATAAGTAAATTATTTTACTATAAGTAAATACTTTGTACTATTCAAAGAAATATGTATTAAGATTTAATAAATTTTTTTCAGTGTATATTTTTTATAAATAGTTTATTATATTTATAAAATTTTATTCAATTTCTATCTTCACAGAATCATCTTGTTTTCACAATAATGATTTTCTCTGCAATTTTCATTAAAAAAAGCACATAGTATAATCTGCTACACATTTAGGTGTAAAAAATTAATAGTTTGTTATTTATAGATATTTTCACAGTAATGAAATTTCAAAAAATATTTTTCATTCAAAATATGTATTTTAAGAACTGCTGCGCGATTTTATTTTACAAAAAGTCCGTCCAATATATTTTATGTACAAACAGCTTATAATCAAAAATTATAAACAGATTAAATAAAAATTATTGCCTGTATATGTAGTGTCGAAGATCCATGTATGAAATTGGCACAACCACGAAAGTTTGCGTGAACGTAAACTAATGACAACGTTATTCCTTGAGTTTCCGACCGGGATTCTCCAATCAATATCCTTGTACGAGTTCTCAAATCAGATAATCCGGCGACTGAGCCACTCGTAATGAATCTGATCGATTGAATTGGGACATAGCGTATGTGCGACGACACATATCGAAGATGAACCCGAAACGCGTTGCTAAAGCAATTTAGTCGCGGATTCTAAACCACGGTAGCAGCGTCGCGAATAGAAAGTTCGAAATGGAATTCACACGACCTCGCCTGCGATTCTAGAGTTCTCCAAATTTTGGTGGCAATTAGGACCGATGTTCAATGGACGGTCTCCGGCCGGCGGATGGCACGGCGAAGTTACGAGGGACTGGAAATTAGTTTGGGCGTCGAAATGAAACGATAGGAGTGATGGATTGTGATATTTATATTGTAATTCTATTGTAAATAGAATATACATGCATATGTATCACGTTGTAAATTTAACACGTATGAACATTGTAATATCGATCGAGTTCCTCTTATCGCGTACTTCAATCGTTCATTTAACTTTTACTCAGCAAATCGCACACGTTTCATACGTGTTGCGTCAAAATTTCCAGTAAACAACAGTTTTCGAAATTAAAATAAATTTAAATATATTCTTTTTGGATCGCAAGTCTACATGTCATTTTTGCACGACTTTTTTTATTAACTACATCAAATGGTTGACGCAACCATAGTTTTATTTTACCTGATAATATTTTGACATTTCTAAAATGTTACTTCCACCTTAATAAGCGAAAAATTGACGGCAGGAAAGCAACAAGAGGAAAGTAACAAGATCAAAGTCCAACTACAGAAATTCTACTCTGAAGCTTCTAGTGAAAGATGTTGGGAGCTTTCTGGCGGAAGATAAAGTCACGTTGGATGTCTCAACATCCGAGCAAAATGTGTGTTAAGAACCATAAAGATTTAACTCGTACATTTTATACGGAGATAGTACTCTGCAGTCAATCGTCTTATATTTATTAAGAAGCCCGGCTTGTGTTTATTGATGAGTAAGCTTTCGAAGAGACAGCAAATTCAATATTACAAATACACTTCGAAGATTTTATGTTTCTTGCATAAATAATACATCTTCTCATCCAGGTGTTCGCAAAGACGATTGCAGTACCACATTCACGAAACAGTATTGACGAAACCAAGAAGGCTGTCAGAAAATTTTATCAAAGAAGAACCTCATTCGCCTCGATAGAGCAAGATTTGTGAAATGAATATTTTGTTTAGAATCATGACATTTTTGTCGCATGAGAAATCGCGAATGACACACGCATTAAGCGAGTCCCTGAGAATTCTACAGAGATTACTGGTGTTACAAACTGTTCCAAATCGCATGATTTCATATCGAAACTTTATAGGAGGAAATAATTCTACAGCTAATGATTTGTTACTTCTGCAACGTAATAACGAAGACATAATTGCACGATTTAAACGAAGAAAGAGTACGCAGTCCAGCGAAAAGGATGACTCGAAACAACGCCACGAATGTATCGAGGATCATCAGCAGTCTGCGGAATCCTGTGAAAAACCGCACGAATGGCGTAGCGATGGTTACCAGATATCGACAGAAAATTATCAAAAGATTCGCAGCGACTTATTGAATCATGACGAATGTTACCAGTCGATTGAATCCAATTCCTCGAATTATTCGGACAAATCTGTACCATGCAACAATCGGCAAGCGTGCGAGTCACTGAAACACAAGTCTTATACATCAAAACCAGCGACTCGAATAACGTCTGAGAAATGGATTTGCGGAAAACCAGCAACGGAAAGAAAGATTTATTATAAATGCAAGCCGAAGTTGTGTATTTATTCGTACAACCGGAAAGAACCGATACATTTTCGATCGTCACGAGATAATTGCAAAGACAAATCGAAGCAAACTGCATCTTATCCTATATTCTGAATCAGAGACTTTGTCTTTTAAAAAAATTACATCGAATGAGAAGAAAGCTTCTCCTATTAAACATAAAATACCAAAGGAATATCCTACATTAGATCCATACGAGTATTACAGAAAACCCGATCCTCCACCGCCAAGATATCCACATTGGAATGAAAATCCACTGTCTTACTGTGACAATTGCTTGAAAAAGACGACCCGTTCATCCCCTGTTAAAGCCTCACCAATGATCTTCATCCCTGACAAGAGACCGCGGAAATCCCGTGCGAAAGACACTGTGTCACCTTCGCAGAATATTCATGAGACTTTCAGCGGGAGCCCGAAAGGAAATGTGTGCGATGGAACAGATGCCAAGGCACCGCACTTGCAGAAGAATGTATCAAAAAAACGTAGCACGATCTCTTTCGAAGATAAATGCGCTGCTTCTTTGACAATTCCTGTGCCTAACAGAATAATGGAATCTAAAATTCAGTACTTTCCAACGCTGACGAGGGACGGTCGTTGTTGCGTTGAGAAACCTGAAAAAAAAATTTGTCATGCCGGACGTCAGCGATTGTAACCCCAACATGGCGAGTTTCAAGTATCGATTGAGTAAATGTCCTAACGTTAAGGAAATGTGGGGTATCGGCATTAAACGCGAGCCACCTGTTGACGTTAGTGTCCGACAAGAGCAAGGAGCTTTTTTGTCCGACTATAAGAAGATAAAGACATCAGAATCGCGCCGAGAAACTACAAGAAGAAAGAAGAGATTCAAGTCGCGGGTACCGAGTAACGGATGGACACAACAGAGGTACAAGGTTCGCTTGAAGATTTTCCAGAAAAGAAATAGCCTCGATCCTTGTCTTCCGCGGATCGTCGAACTGATACAACCGCGTGGCGAAAAAATGCGGTCGAAACTGTTAAAGTTCGTTGCAGACGAAGGCGAATTTTTGTTACAATTGAAAAGCTCGTGCTCGCATAATTGTTCATCCAAGTTGCCGATTGCCGAAACGAAGAGTTATCCGACGAAAATGAACGAAAGCAGTTTGATTCGTGATCAGTACCTAAGAAAACAACCTTGCAAAAAGCATCGCTGAACTTTTGGAAACTACTTTCCGATGTAGAATATTTGAAAGTCAGTTGACAGATTGAGTCAATATTTATTTTAAGAATTTTCAAAATTTACATTTATTCTTTCAATATGTACAAACTTTAACGCGTGTCGAAAATAAAAGGGAATACGTAATAAGTGCGAAATAAAGAAACAGCACATTAGTAACATTATTTTAATAAAAATAAAAATTTTGCTACAGCTTAGTTATCAGTAAATTATATACAAAAAGTAGTGCTTTGCGCAACTAATATAATTATTTTTATAGTTATCTTTAAACAATTATTTAATTCCACTAAAATGATAGATTTTTTGCAATGACAGTGATTTCTGCGACAAAGAACGTTTAGAATGCCAATTTAATTTGCTTTTTATTTATATTAATAGGAAATAATACGTAATAACAGCGAATTTTTAAGCGAAATATATGCACGAGACATACAAAGGTGACATTATAAAGGTGTAGGAAAAGGACATGCGGAAATGAAAAAATGCAGCTCGCGTGGCTTGAGACGGCTGCAAAAGAAGTCTGTTCGCAGCAGCTGGTCTCTAACTTTTCACGTTTATCATTATCTCACCCTCTCATCGTACACCCTTATTTTTGCACTCGGTGGAACAAACTTGCGCATCAAACGCCCTTGTTTTATGGCCGGTATACATTTTCATTTCTGTCGGGAAATGATATATCTCGTAGCCCTAATAAACGCGACTCGGGATTTAGTGAGCATTTATCTTGTCTACATCGGAAATAATAGGAAAAAATAAAAACGCATGAGTTTGCGTTAATCCAATTCCAATAATTAATTGGAAGTCGTGGTAGATTGAAGATTTTGCATCTTCCATTTCATGTTCTCTTAATTTTTCAATAGAAATTTCATAGAATATTAACGCTGTAAAAATTTTATGCGTTAATTAATTATTAATTAATTTTCATAACGTAACTTAACAATAAGAAAAAAAGATGAAAGGGAGAGAGAGACAGTTGAGATTAAAATTTGTAATATAATATGTATGTAATCGTCTTATATAATTGTACATGATGTACATTTTTTTCGAATTTGGTAAATTCGATTTATACATTTTACACCCTGATAGCAAAGCCTGCGGAGACAGATTTTGAACAGAGCCTGCTACCAATTTTTGATTGCAAAAAGACACCAAATTGTATACAGAATTTGTATTATCTGACATTGTCAGCAAATTGCTGTCAGAAATATAACAAAGCCTGCTAGACATGTTATGCCAGCATATTGGTAGCAGAAACCAAGCAAAGGCTTGCATAATCTTACGGCAGATTGAAAGTAGATTGAGAGCAGAACTTGATTCAAGCAGACTTGTTCGGTTTCTGCCACCAATCTGCTGGCATAGCCTGTCAACAGGCTTTGTCGACAAATCCTATTCAAATGCGGACACAGATGGCTATGGTTTTGTAGTCAAAATCTAATGGAGTTTGCTGCCAATTTGGCCCCAAATTGCTGACATTTTGCTATTAGGGTACTTATATATTTATATACGTTTACACACACAATTAATTTTTCTTTCCACATTCATTTAATGAGTTCTTAATACATACAAGCAGCGGATGTTACATCGCTTCAGTGACTTCAAAATTGTTACCTATTTAGAAGTACGGTAACCTGCACTTGTTTTTCTCCGTCATTGAAATTACATGCGATTAAAGGATACAGTAAAACAGCGAAAGGACGATCGCTGCTTGTAATGTTCACGATTGTTAACTTCTAATTGAACGTCAATGAGCAGTCTAAGTCGGTCGTTTTCTCTAACGGACTTGAAATAACGAAAACCACAGTGACATTTTACGATACTCATACGGAACTATTAACATTGTTACAGATAAATGATGATTGGTTCCACATGGAGCATCGATCCGTGGCGAAGAGGTCGACGGAACCACATCTCGAAATGCACCAAAGGCTAATGAATGACTTCAGAGTACGTCGAGCGGAGCAACAGCGGGCAAAATCGCGTACTAAAAGGGATCTTATAATCAAACGTCCGTCCAATATACTAACCATGCTAAACGATGAGAGGTGGCCTCAGATGTGGTATTTGGTAAGCAATTTTAATCAACAGCAAATAATGTGTGTTTATTTATCGGTGCGATATAATACAACAGAATATTGTGTGCGACAAGATTATTTATCGGTTGCACCGATAAATAAACACATAATTTTATGCAGCCAAAGTATCAAAGACAAAAATATAATATAATATTTAAATAGAAAATTTAGTAGATAAGTAATTTATACTTTTTAATAACAAAAAGGTACAATTATATTTATCAGAAATATATTACAAACTTGTAAAAACGTTTCCAAGTTTACATTTAATTTAGCAATAATTGTATACTTTCCATATTATCGATAAATGTAAAAGGTGCATTAACGTTTTATGAAACTTTTTTGAAAGCGTAAAGTGTTATAATAAATACATTATAAATTAAATAAGTAAACAGTACAATGAAGAAATTAAAGAAACTGCAAAATGAATTCAATCGATATCGTTATAAAGGGTTTCCACGTTTATATCGTAAATGAAGACTCACGACCGGAAGTAGTACGTCGAAAGTATTGGATAATTTTTCTTTTCAGAATAGGGGAAAAGGGTTAGACATGAACGTGCAAGGTGCTTGGGCTGAGGGAATTACTGGAAATGGCGTCGTGGTCACAATTCTTGACGATGGATTAGAGAAAGATCATCCCGATCTTTTCAAAAATTATGTGAGTATATTTGAGTATTTTACTATTTTTTTTTTCAAAAATTTACCAATCAGATTTTTAAGAAAATGTTTTCTAGCGTGATTATAAAGCAAACACATTTGTAATATTAAAAAGTTCTGCATTTAACTTACGTTTAAAATATTACGAACTGAAGAAGCAGTCATGTTCAAATAAATTGCGTTTTGTAATTTCTTGTGACAGTTCCGGTAATCTTGTGAAGTAGCTTTCTATTTGATTAAATTTACGCGAATAAGTAAAATTGCAAGCGCTTAATATCTGCTTAATATTGTTTAATGGATGAATGTTCGATGCGTAAATACGTTTGACACACGAAAAAAAAAAGAAAAGCGAGGAAAAGCTCTAACGGAACATACAATAGAATACGGCGGACGAAGGCATATCACGGATGCACTGGGAATATCAGCTCTTGAACGCGAATATTGGAAGGGGGTTATCCAGCCCATGTACACGTATACCGAATAGCTATTGATTCACGGATGGTTACATTGAATGAGGCATCTGCGCACGTAGTAGAAAGTGAATCGTATTAATCAGCCAATAGGCACACGCTGCGATGCGCAATGGTGCGCCTTAGAGCGTTGCTCTGATTATGCGAGCTTATATCCCTTCGCATGTATTTCTCATTATGCAAATGATGCATAAATGAAAAGGTATTAAGAAGATATCCGGATGTGCGTGATCAGGGATTTAAACATAATACTTCTTCGCTCTAACGACAATAACGTCTAATTATTGCAATACCTCTGTAACAAATATTGTCTATTTGAAAGATCTCTTTACATATAGTAAAAAAATTTGTGTATTTGTGTTGGAAACGATCCACTCACGTTTGTATTAACAGTTTGTGTTGAATTTTTTAATATATTCGAGTGTTAATTTAACATAATTGTGATTATGTTATTTAAAGATTTTTTTGTGAAATTGATATTCAATGTTTCTTAGTGTCAAAATAACACAATTTATGAGTAAGTGAATAAGTAACATAAAGATAAAGTGTTTTAAAACGTAAATTCTAAGACAAATGAATGAAATATGTGTTAATTTAACATATCATAAATGTTAATTTTCTGAAAAAAAAAAATATGTTCCACGGTTTGTTTACAAATTGTGTCGATGTCATCTTTCTTTGTATTTATTCTTTTACATAATATTTGTGTTACCTTCTAACATACTCATCTAGCGTAAAATTAATTCAAAAATTTGGGTGGACCATTTAGGACATGCGATTTATGTTAAATTCAATACATTTTTTCAACTGTGCATAAAAAAATAAATTTATTTCGCTTATAATAATTTTTAACATATATAATTTTTTATTAAAACTTTTGCTAAAACTTGTCTCGCACATCGTTTCACGATATACACTAAATGTTTTCTGTTTGTTCTACGGTTATCTACTAGGTGTGCACGTATTATATTTTTATTGAGTAAATATTCTACTTGTATATTTACACAAGTCTTCGTTCTTCACTATTAGAAAGCGGAATAGGTGAACATAATTCATGAAACGTGTGAATTTTAATTAATGCCATTCTCGGTTTCTGTTGTAGGATCCTCAGGCTAGTTACGACGTCAACAGTCACGATGAAGATCCCATGCCAAGGTACGATCTCGTAGATAGTAATCGACACGGCACCAGGTGTGCTGGAGAGGTCGCAGCCACTGCCAACAATTCTCTTTGCGCTGTAGGTGTTGCTTTCGGAGCTGGCGTAGGTGGTAAGTATATTCTGTGAAAAGAATTATTTAATATTTTGATGCATTTTACGAATCAAAAAGACTTTACGTACATTTTTCAGAACTTTTTTATATGTATAATTTAAGAGTTCTGATGAGCTATGAAAATTTTTATTTTAATCCGTGTCTTATCTTAATCTTGAATTAGACGCGAGTAATGTAAAATTTTAATTGCTGTTTTAATAAGAGCTTATTGCGCAAAAGTTCGAGTGTAAGATAAAAATAAGGTATTAAAAAACTTTTAAGAAAAAAAGGGAGGTAGAATATTTAAAATATATTAAATCGTCGGAAATGATAGTTTAATTCCGCAATCACTTAAATCTATTTAAGGTTCTGTTTACAATTAGCAGCAGTGAAGTCAGTGCCGAAACTCGCGTTACTGTGAATAACACGTATTTGTAATAAGCAGAATTGATATCACGAGGTCGCATCATTTTCGAATTAGAATCGGGATTGGCAATAGCCTATTACGTGCATTACATTCGGAACTGATTCAAATCGGTGCGCGGTGCCCAATTTCGACCTTGTAAATTGGGATTCTCTATTCCACGTACCATCGCAATTATGTAGGATAATTAACTCAAACGAGGAATCTATGCTGTTTAACAGTTTGAAAATTCCTTATGTATACATGTATATGTATTGTATATATTGTATCTGAATATACTGTTAGAAATGTGACCACGAGCTTCCTTTACATGTAAATGAAGCTCGTGGTTATGAACGAAATTAAAAGTAATGAATGATTTAACTGAAAATTAAGTTACAGTCGTTACTTAAATATAATGAACGTGTACATTAAATTTCATAAATTTTCATGAAAAATACATTAAATTTCATGTACATGTACACAAACATACTTTTCAGTTATAAATACATTAAATTTAATGTAATGTTATGAAATTAAGTTCAAATTGTGTAAATTGAAAGTATATTAAATTTCATGAAAATTTTAACAGTGTATATTTTCAGAAAACTAGCGTTAAAGATCCGTATAGAACATTTTTATATAACATGCGAAAATTCTATTATTTACGAATATATATGCTATCATAATGCTATATAACGTTAGTCGTTAACTTTTTATAATTATTTTTTTAAACAGGTGTTCGAATGCTGGATGGCGACGTAACAGATGCCGTCGAAGCAAGATCTTTGAGCCTTAATCCTCAACACATCGATATTTATAGCGCCTCGTGGGGACCGGATGACGATGGCAAGACTGTAGACGGTCCTGGTGAACTGGCCACCAGAGCTTTCATCGAGGGAATTACCAAAGTAAGTGTTTGCTATAGAAAATTATATTACTATTTATACTTTGCATGTAACTTGTAATTTTATTTAGACGTAAATCATAAAAAAATTCTAAGATTTCTCAAATTTATTACTTTAATACAATTATATTTATTTTCGGCATTCTTAAATTCTAAAATAAAAATACAAAAGCCGGATAAAACGATTTACGTTTATATTTATTTTTAATTTAGTTTTGGTAGCTGGGACGACAATATTTTCTGCTAGAAAAATAGATTTATCCAGAAAATTATTTTAAGATCGAGATACTTTGTAATTTGTATAGCTTTTCAACAGCAGCTTTCTTCGTAAATATTATATGTATAAATTCCGTTTGCCTAATCGAGAGATTATTTATCAAGGATATTAGTAATAATAATAATCTTAATTGTCATATCTTTTTCATTATTATGTTACGAATAAGTTGAAAGGAAGTATGTCGCATGTCCTGAAGCTTCAGACTTCGACGTAGCAACGTAATCCACTTAGAACTGCAATTTTCTTCGCTATAATTTCCCGCGCTATGACAAGATAAATGCAATTAGCTGCAAGGTACCTCCGTACGACATGGAAGCTTCTAGTTTGCTTTAAGACACTTCCTTACTTTCAAGTGTCAAGCAGAGGATTTTAAAGCTTCGCATTACAACGCTTATGCTTTGTTAATATGTTGCATAAAGAACATTAACTATACAGCATTCAAATAAAATATCCCAGCTATACAGAAACTCTTGTTATTGTTCAGATAATTGATATTTATTTTAATGAAAAATTGAAAATTGTAATTAAAGATTCTTATAGATATAGAAAATTCTTAGAAGAATAGAATATTTGTGACAATAATACCAATTGATAAATTATTTAATATAACGTTGTAGTACTGAAATATTGATACGAGAAGTTGTTCGTAGTAAATTGAAAATCGTTACTTTCCGATTTTCCTACGGATTGGAATTTCATTTGTAATTAATCTCGTCAATCTCAATTTTTATTTGAGAATGAAAAGGGAATTTAATAGCTATCCTGATTAAAGTTGACAAACTTCAAGTTCAATTATCGCCTTCCTGATTTCTTACATCTTGCGCTAAAGAAGTACATTTAACTTACTAATGCTTTTCTTTGTAGAACTAAATAGACAAGAAGTTGCTTTAAATGCTGTAACTATTACAGATTTCTCACTCAATAAGCATAGAGAAAATTTAGACATTCATTTTTCGATTTATAATATAATTACACATCGAATAGTTTAAATTAATATTGTAATGTTTAGTATTATAATTGCGTATTCTTCTTAACGATGTGTGTATTTTATATATATTTTTTATATACATCTTTTCTTAAACAACTTTTTAATAATAGGGTGTCGAAAACGTAATATCTTTTCAAATATTTACACGAAGATTGTCTTCACTTTCCATTTTGTGATTGAAGATTCAGAGACAATCTATGTTCATAAAAACTGAGGAACCGGTTCAAATTGAATTTTCTTATTTTTAAGATTGATTATTTTTATCAATTTTTTGAAATATTATTGCGTACATGCAATAGACATGATATTTTATCTACTTCGAATCTCCTTTTTGAAAGCAAAATTCGCACATTAATGCGTCCATCATTAATGCGGTTCGTATGTTCAAAATAACGTCCGAACAACGTCCCGGGATGAAATGAAATTCGCACAAATGTATCACGCAGAAGCATTCCCTGAAATCTTCCGAGTTTCAGTAGCGACAATGGCCATTGTCATCTCGATGTATACGCCTCGGCTCTTCGATCGCGTTTGCAGCGTGTTCCTTTATCGCGATGGCGAACTTTAGTATTGAGAGAGCCCCTACTTCAAGTAACGATCATTAAAGCGCAGATACCTAACATTAAAACGGAGCCATCAGATGCTGGCAAGAAACTTCTTCCGTACAGCCCATTTCTATTATCAACTTGATTCACGATTTTACGTTTTATTTTACGATATAATTATAATCAATAATTTCAAATATTAAAGTTCCTTTTTAATTCGAGTCACTCTCGAGCTGGTTATTACAAGATTTTAATACTGGACACTATTGTTTGATCGATCAATTTGCATTACGCTATGTTACAATAATTTTATATCTTGACTCATATTATACACATAGAACTAATATGATTCTCGCTGTTAAACGGGGATTTAGTTTTAAATATTTTGGTTGTTATCTATTCGTTTGGACATGGTGTGGCAAAACTATCTCGACTTATGTAATAATCTTTGAAAAAGATGATAATATAATTTTAGAGAATAATTATTGTCACCTCACATCGATAGTTAGACTGTAGAATTTAATATTTTCATTTTATTTTTATTTGTATTTATATTCTACTGAAGAAGACTCTGTAGTTGAAACGTTTATATTTATGTATTAATTATAATTAAATTACCATTATTCAAACATCTACTTGTTTGCTCGATTATTAATCATTATCAAGAATTTTGTATTTCTTTTTAATCTTTTCATAATCGAGATTATACTTCCCGCGAAACTTATTTGGAAATAAAAAAACGTGCTGACTTCTTTAAATATCATAAAAATTATACAAATTATACAAATAGTTATGACTCATTAAAAGCGCTCTGCTAATGTACTGGCATCTTTTAGCATTAAAATATTGACTGTTTGAAGTTATGAAAGTATTGAAAGGTATAATGTGTTATTAATGTTTTCGGATTGTTATGTATACACACTACAATTAATCAAGGTCCGTAATCAATGATTGACTTTCTTCGATATCGCAATCATCGACGAAATTGTCGACGGAATGATGACAGATGTAATTCGATTAGCGGGAACGGGAAGAACTCCTTCAGTTAGACCTGGTTTAATAGACTTGCTTGAGAGGTCAGCCCTCAGAAAGTTTCTAATTGAGTGCTTTTAAGCGACCGGCTTGAGCTGCTCTAACACGTATTTTAAACTCACTGCCCCAGCGGCGTAACTATATAAATCGTATGTAAATATCAGTAAGATCGATACAAAGTTCGTTAAAATATATGATAATTATCGAGTGAAACATATACGTTGCGCAAGAAATAGTAGGTCCTATACATCACAGGTGCATTTCCGTCGAAACTCATAATAAGAATGCGCGTAATAATCCAGGCAATATATGTATATAAATCGCCATGTATAAATTTCTATTTATATATTATAAAGTAAATTATGATAAAAATTGTGAAAAGTGAAAAGCAAGCGAAAAATCTCGTTGAACAAGTAAGGAATTATTATATAATTCTATCGCTTAAAAACGATAATTAAGCAATAATATTAAGTAAATTTTTGAAATTGGTATAAAAAGCATATTACCCGCAAATTAAAAATAAAATTATAATTTTATATAATTATAATTTTATATATAATAATTATATTTTGTATTGTAATTTGATATATTGTAATTTGATATCTTAACGTATTAGATATAACATATTATAAGATATAATATGATTGGAAATTCGTGTAATATAGTATAATTAACATAATATTTTTATAACAGTATTTTTATATCTCTAAATAATATTCTATTTTAAAAGATGTAATAAATTTACTTCATATCAACCAAAATAGATATAATACTAATATTCCAAGCCATTTCGTTGTTCCAACAACTATTTGGCTTTGCATATCGTTGTATATATCTAACCGACAATTCTCTTTGTATCATATTACATATACACTACCTTATATTTGACAAAGGTAGATATGGACGCTCGGAGTTCTCCTTGAGGCCTGTTATCAAATTCGATAATCTCATCCTTTATAGTAGACAGAAGTGTAACTATAGAATTCGTGCATGTCCAATGGAATTGCGTGAGATATGTGCATGTGAGTTATCATTAAATTAACTTATATATATTTTGATTTTTTTATGTTTGCAATTTTATTTATGTTGAATCGGAACAATTTTTTTTAGCGAAAAGATCGAATAGAGAATGAGATATTTTTATAGCATTTATAATTTATACTTTGTCTTAATTTTTTTATCATAACCTGCATTTAGAAGTTTAGAATATTAAATTGGTATAAATGGAATTATATAATAATAATAATTTCAATATACAATTATAAATCGACATTTCAATATAATCAGTTAACAATTGTTATACAGATCGAATTTAGCTGTCTGATACAGTCAGGCGGATACCTTATCACTTTACGATCAAATAGCTTTACTGATCAAAGGCTCGAACACTATATTGCTGAATTAGTTAACGTCGAACCTCAAAGAGAGTTCAGAGTTCGTGGTCACGCCTAGTGTACTTTAGTATCGGACGACTGGTCTTATCACGATAGCTGGACCTACAGGTTTGATAAAGAATTGTATCTATAAAACTAGGCAATATACCTCACGGTATATACCGCAAAAAGTATCACTCAAATTCTGAAGTATTTATAAAAGAAAGATTCATGATTTAAACGTGATTTAACGTGATGATAAAATCTGCATATATGTATAATAAGATAGCAAATCAATATTTAAACTGCAGAGTCTACTGCAATTGTCCGCAATAGTGATTAACTTGAAATTAATTTCTTGAAAAATTCTTAGAATCTATTCCAAGTAACCAGGCACGCATTATATGAATCAATCATCCTTTTGCATGCGACTTACCAAAGATTAGAAACTCAATTGCCAAAATTATCCTTTTAATCTTTGAATGGGGCTGCATACAAAATGTAGGAACGTTCCTCGTTATGAGAGCTTAAGACACACAATTCAGCCTCGACCTTACGAAGACCATTAACGCTAAACACTCATCGACTTCCCAACAATGGTTTCACTCCGAATCATCTACTATTGTGTGTCTACGAGCGCACAGAAAGCAGCTTTAACATGCAAAGTGTCTTAAACTTCTAAAGCGCCTTAAGCGTTTTGAACATCTTAAAGCCAAGTACCAGTAAAAAGTCAACCGCGTCTAGAGTATCATCCGAAGTAGTAAATCCAGATCCCAAGTAGAACAAAAGCGTTGAGAAACTGTTGAAAAACCGTTTTTCCATAACGTTGAGTAACAGTTAGAAGTATCCATATAGGAAACGTTAAAAATGATGATTAATTAAAACCACTATATAAAATCATTTTAAAAACATTTTTTTTACCCTAGTAAAATATTTTTTATATATAATTAATCCAGTTTTACTGCGAAAATAAATTTTGTTAATTTATAGTATCACATTCCTAAATACACGTGACAAAATAATAAGTATATTTAAGGAAAGAAATTCGACTTTACGACTGTTTCTCCAAACGGTCACTCATCCAAGCGTTGCTTGATTTTTATAACAGTACGAGAACTAAAGTAATCTTAAGCGATTTTAAAACAGAGAGAAAGAGAGAGAGATATGACCATTCTTATACATTTTATAAACGTTGCTCTGTTCTTTAAAATTGGAACTCTAGTTTAAAGCACAAATACTTGTTAAATCTCGCCGTTTTAGTTTTGCGGCCGCCCGAATTTAATTTGCTTAAGCGCGTTATAATAGTCTTTTAAATATTTCTATATACGATTGCTTTAAATATTTTAAGAAACTGAATTATTATATACATAATCCAATACACACACACATATAGTAGCTTCTTTCATTAAATGCATTAAAAGAACTTTACTCCAATATCGTCAGGGTCGCAACGGTAAAGGTTCGATCTTCGTGTGGGCGTCCGGGAACGGCGGCCGAGACCATGATAACTGCAATTGTGACGGCTATACCAATAGTATCTGGACGCTGTCGATCAGTAGTGCGACAGAGAACGGCCTTGTGCCCTGGTACAGCGAGGCATGCTCGTCCACTCTCGCCACCACATACAGCTCGGGTTCTACCGGAGAGAAGCAAGTCGTCACTACGGATCTACATCATCACTGTACCAGTAGCCACACCGGCACCTCCGCATCGGCGCCGTTAGCGGCCGGCATTTGCGCCCTTGCTTTAGAAGCAAACAGAGATCTTACTTGGAGGGACATGCAACACATCGTAGTCAGGACAGCCAAACCTGCGAATCTGCAAGCACCAGATTGGGTAGTCAACGGTGTCGGTAGAAATGGTGAGTAATCATCAACTCATTTTTGATAGAGAGAAAACATTTCTTGAAGATTAAACGCACATGATTTTCAAGAGAGGAATAAATTATTGTTTATGTATTATAGTAAAATTGAATCATAAAAGTTTTAATTTTTTATGGAGTAAATATAACAATATTATAATTAACATTTATTATTTAATACTATCAGAATATTTTAATCAATCTATCAGATTCATTTAGTGAATAAATATAGAAAACAATATTTTAAAGGGCATACATTACTACGCAAGATATTAGAAGCGAATAATA